CGGGGCTGGATTGGCATTGATTCTTTCATGAAATTTTCTTCAATAATGTTGAAGTATATGTCTTACTGTGATGCTTTCTTTTTGTTATATCATGTATTTTAGTATTCAGAAAAATAAGAACTGCTGGCTTTCTCTGTTAATATGGATTAGAAGATTGGCTTTTAAGCAAGTATTTTGCTTAAACTTCCTAAGCATTTGGCCAATATGCATAAGAGTTAATGTTTTCATCTAGGGTTTTCAAATTTAGATACCAACAACTACTTTAGGCAGCAGTATGTTGCATAACTAGCTTGAAACTCCATGAATGCATTCACGTTATTACTGATGGAATTTGTTCTTGTTATCCCTACAATAATTTAGGTATTTAGGTTGAAATATGCTATAAGAGCTCTTTGATTCATTATAGTTCCTTTGGAAATATGCAAATTCTTTTCTTTTCACTGCTTGATTATGTCAGATTTTATTTTGTCATTGTGATTGTCAAGTATGACTATTTTTTCTTGAGAAGTGCACAATTATGACCTTGTATAGTTGTATACATTTTCTCAAATTTCCATGTTTGTATGCTCCTCAGTTGGGCTCTCGGGTATCATCTGTGACTTCTCCAGCTGGGGTTAATTCAAGGACGCCTCCAAAAAAGCCTTCTATTGGCCAGAAGAAACCACTTGAAGGGCTTGGTTCACCACCTATGTCAAGGTGAAAAACTCTTTCTGTTGCTGATAGCTTGATAATGAATATCCATTTCTTGATTAAGAGTTATTTAGTTCATCATGTTGATATTTTGATTCATTGTACATGATCTCTAACATAATTAATGAAATTGCTTACAGTAAGAAGCAAAAAGTATCAGGGACCTTTTCTGATCAGAGTATTGAACAACTGAATGATGTCACTGCCGTCAGTGGAGTCAATCTCAGGGTATGTTTCTTTCTCATCCTTTGGCTGTTGGGAAGTGTATCTGCTAGTTAGGTGAACAATTCCAGCTCTTTCAAGATCAAAAAGATGGTCAATATACTTCTGATGTTCTACTCTTAAATAGGAAGAGGAGGAACAGCTATTTTCTGGTCCTGCAGAGGATAGTCGAGTTTCAGAAGCGTCGAGAAGGGTTGTGCAAGAAGAGGAAGAAAGGCTTATTTTGCACAGAACTTCCTTGCAAAAGAAGTTAGCGGAGATCAGTTATACTCTTATTCTCTCCTTAATTTCATTCAAGTTTTTAATTAGCAGGTTTATGTTGTTTTTAAGTAAAAGTAATAGTAACACATTGCTTATTGTCTTCCTTTCTCTGTCTGACAGTGGTTAAATGTGGTTTGAAGAGTATAAGCAATGACGTGGAGCGGTGCCTTTCATTGGTGAGACGCTAGTCCTTCATTTGATATCATATATTTATTCATTTTCTTATGCATATGCATTTGTATCTCTAGTGTGTGGAGGAAAGGCTGCGTGGATTGGTATGCAATTTAATTAGACTCTCAAAACAGGTAATTTTCTATTTGTTAACTTGAATTCCTTTCATTCATACATCTTCAATCTTTCTCATATTGAATGTATGTTTATAGCGAGTTGATGCTGAGAAGCCTAGGCACCGAACTCTTATCACCTCTGATGTTCAGCAACAAATTGAAACAATTAACAAGAAGGCTAGGGAAGAGTGTGAGAGAAAGCAGGCTGAAGTGGAGAAGCTTCGAAAAGTTAGTGAGGTGAGTTTTATATGTTTTCTGAGATATGATCATCCTTAAAGCACAAAAAAAATGCAGGGCATGATGCATGGTTAAACAGTTATTACATGTTTGCGTTCTATAATAGCATTTATAATTTAAATTCTGTGTGCAGCCTGAGGGTGATAGTTTAG